GCTTATAGTAAGTTATAAGTTAATATTATAAGTTATATTATAAGGCTTATAATATAAGCAGGGTTAAAGTATAAGCTACTTAGTAATTAGTAAAAATAAGTAGGGCTTATGTAATATAAGTACTTTTACCTATTAAGTTATAATACTAATAGGCTTTTAGCTTCTTTTCCTTTCTTAATAAAATAGTTTCTTACTAATACTATATATAAACAGTTCGACTTGCTATAATGTACTCTCCTTATACCTTTGTTAACTGTTTTCTAGTAAGTACAAGGTTTAATAGCTAATTACTATTTAAAATGTCCAATACGCCGTTATAGAAGACATTATATGCAATTTAGTGCCCCTTTGAAATGGGTAATTAAGATTTTCATCTTTTCACAATTGCTATCTGACCTTAAGGAGTATTACCATTATGTATTGTATAACTAGAGGTATTTTCCTAACTAATGAAATCGTCGCTGGCTTTATTAGATACACTAATCCCTTAATTTTAAACAATCCGCGTTCTTATTACAATAACAAAGCGCAGAAAAAAACCAAGATAGGTTCCCCATATTCTACTCAAGCTAACTACGTTAACGTTATACTAAGATAATAAAGTAACCTTTATAGCAAAGTATTAATAAGTCTTATAGCTAGTACCTAAACCTTGTAATTTAGCTAAATAGGATGGCCTTAATTTACAAGAATATTTTTAGTATAATAGTTAACTTATAAAGAAACTACAGCACAACCAGGCACTGGAGTATAATCGACCAATGTACGACACCAAGAGTTGAAAAAAGAGCTATAAAGCAAATAGGCAGCTATACCGGAGATAAGCCAGTTGGAAAAGACTGGCGCCGAGATAACAGGCGAAGCGTGAAGAGCATAGGCACCGCCTTCCAAGCATACCAGAAGAGAAATGTCAGGCCCATAAGAACCAGCGACAGGATAACGTACTCCCAGATATGATGATCTCCATCCCCGCCTGTTATTTCATTGATATTCATGCCATAGATGCTCTATTAGGCACAGATTCAGTTAGAACTGCTTTGAAACGAGAGTGTTCCCTAAAGATATTTGGAAAGGCTTACCGCAGCAATTTGCAGAGGCAGGTAGAAGAATGTAAGCATAGCGACCCGACGAATGCTTGCAGCAAGATAGTTGGCGGCTTTGCTTTCTTGTATTGCTGCGGCCGTATCGTTGAAAGTAGCTAAGTTGAATATCTATAAACTCTTTTTAGTCAAATATCTTGGGTTGAATCTTATACAACGCTATATAATGGTACCCAAAAAGAGTTTCTTTTGGTCATTTCGGGGGACACTGACTAGGTTGATCAATATGTTGGTGTTCGTATCGAGCTCGTGGGTACGTGTCTCATAGTCATTCAAGGTAAGAATGATCTTTTTGAGATAACTCGAGATTGACTCTGCACCCCCCACAGCTGTGAAGAATGGGTGGGACATCATTTGCTTGGCAGTGTCTTTGGCAGAAACTATGCGCCGGCGCACCTCGGACCATAGAGGAGAAAGCTGATGAAGGGCGAGCGAGTAAGACTTTTGCTGCTCATGCGTTGTTGTAGTCGTTGTTATCGTGCGGCTCTTAGTGTAGTAAATGAGTATTCCAAAGTTCAAGGGTTAGGAAGACTTGGAACTTACAATGTGTTGCAGGTGTTGTTCGGCTTCGTCCAGGAAAGTGTTCCAGTTCACTGAGATGATATGGAACATCTCAGATAAGACCTGACCCAAACCAAACTCTTCCTCCCACTTTCCTGGAGGTATTGTCTCTTTTCTCGTCATCAGCTTACATAGTCCTTTGTATATAATATCATCGACTGGATCGAGACTGATCAACCCCATACCGCGGTTACTCCCCGTAGCTTCTACTTTCTCATTCCAGTAGATAAGATCTACTTTTGTGATATGCCACGTGTGTTTTGTCAGCCCTTGGCCAAGGTTGAATTGCGCATGGGGCGAGTTTTGGTTTCTCGTAGCTTCGCTAGGTTTGATTTTGGGAGGATACATGTCCATGAACTGGAGATGGAAAAACGCATCTGGAAGTCTGTTTAGGAACTATAGCCCACATTTGACACATGTTAATACTTACAGTCAGCAACATGATTCCCCGTGCTGGTAGGCACATAAGGGAAGTTGAAGAAGCGCGGAGTAATGTGTAGATAGTGCCCTAGTGCTCGGACAGCTTTGGGGCAAGGCTTGGTCATGATGCTAAAGATTTGAAGTAAGAACTAACTAGCGTCCAAACACAAGATTGCTACCTACAATATGTTGCTGTTGGTTCGTTTACCTGTCACCAACTCTTTAATTAGTCCACGCATCTCGATCAGCGTCTGGGTGTAGCTCCACTGCATGTTTGCATAGGTGAACTTGTGGATACAAAAGTCATTGTCGTTGCGATGTTTGTGGAGATATGTTTCCAAAGTATGGAACGATATACCTACCTGGCCACAGTTGGATGGCCAGGCCAAATGGGGTTCATTGGGATCGATTACTAGTGTAGCTGTTGACTGCAAGTCCTGCATCCACCAAGCTTTTGCGAGAGCCATTGCCGGAGAAGCTGTGATTGCCAATAACTGTCAACGAAGTAGAATGAGCAGTGAGAGTTTTAGTAAAAGCGATCAAGGCTTGACAAGAAGCTTGAAAGAGGGGGGCGATGCACTATCAGTGGAATGGTGTATCCGACAGCCTGCTTTATTTTCAACCTAAAATAGAAAGTTGCATACGTCCACGTGAGCTTTGCGAACCAATTATGTTCTTTCTACTACTGTGCGCAGGCTGAACTAAATCCTGTCGCATTGTTTAATTTTCCTCGAAAGCCCGGTTATAGCAACGCTAGCGTTGCTCTGGACATACACATGAGCGCTTAGAAAAGCCATCTACATAGCAACAATTTAGGACGTGAGCTGAAAGAACGCAGGCGAACCGGTAAAAGTTGGAGAGATCTATCGGAGCCATCTCCACTATTCATCATGGTCTAATTACTCGCAATCCTCTGACCCAATCGTGTTTGAATGGTATCCCTTTCTTTCAAGAACTACCATTACGCTAACTACTTCAAAGGCAAGACTTGAGAAGACTAGATACCGCAACTTTGGAGTTAGTGGCGAGTAGAGTCCTAGCAGAATGTCCAAACGAGCTTATACGTGCTTGTACTCGTCTCGCTAACAGAGTGGAGTCAGCAGTCACATCTCATCAGGCACTCATACCCGCACAACCGGTTGTGCGTTTAGGAACATACCTTATCTATACAACCGGCCTTATTAAATCGAAAATAAAAGCTATTAAGAAAAGGATTTAAAAGTAAAATTTATAATAATTGGAATAAGTAATTTAAAATAGTAA